TTAAAAGCTTTTACCGCTCATAAGCTTAGTGTTATCAATGATTCATGGCTCTAGAATTATTGCTCACACTCTGACGTTCACGGCGATATGTAACATGCACGGCGTAATGGGCGCAATTGTCATTTTCGCACGTATGCACACCCGACGCAAGTTTGCGTGTGTATGTGGGGGGCGAGGATCGCTCGTATGTAAACAGGTGTCGCTGCCTGTTTTTAAATTTTGCTCGTTTCCTGCTAGCGATTGGGCGGGGCTAACAGGCCGTATCTACACAGCCTGTTACATCTAGGAAGCTCCTGGACTGCCGTTTGGCCGGGAGGCGGTTAATACACAAAGCCCAGCCCTGGTTGATGTTAGCAGTTATAGGTAGCACCTAAACCATATCATCTCTGATTTATATGGGGTGGATGTGAACACCCTCACAACGACTTACCATGGGTTACCATGCCCTGCCACTGCTGTAGGCCTGCCAGCAATATTATCTCATGCTGTCTCCACAGCTCCAGTTTATTGTGATGGCAAGGTGCCACACCTGTTTGCCACAGCCTGGGCAATTTCTTCTGCAGGGTGAATCCTGCATTGTGTCTCAATGTGTGTGGTGGATTCCAGTGCTTCTGCACGATTAAAGTTCCACACCTAATGTTCTCGCTGTTCTTCAGTTGTAAAATGTTTAATGTTTTGTGCAGGCTTATTCATGCTGTTTGTCTCCTTCCTCCATCAATCAACAATATTTGTGGCTATAGTCTCTGAAATAGTGCAGTCTAACAGAGATGTATTATTAGCTGGCGATGGCTGTCACACACATGTGTTTGGGTCCATAGGTGACATACGGCGTCTCTATAAAGAGGAGCTGTCACTGTATTTGTGCTATCACATAGGGGCTTATTATAGCCTTATGTGATGGCAATGAAGTTAAGTGTAAAAGAATAGTCACATGAAAGAGAATTAAAAAACAATTGAAAATGACAATTGCGCCACACGTGTTTACATATCACCGCAAATGGAGTATGAGCAATAATTTTAGGGCCATCAATCAGTGTTAACACTAAACTGATGATCGATAAAAGATTTTAGAGCGTTACCTAATGAGTAATTTTGGGTATGGTAGTTTTTTGCAATTTTAGGGGCACACACAATTTTAAGGTTTGACATGTTTGGTGTCTATTTAAAGGAGAACTATGAGGTGAGTACTTTTCACCTCATAGTTCTAGCCGACCTGTGACAATGAGACTGTCACAGGTCAGCTCAGTAGATCTTGAAGTGAGCGAACACATACCGGTGTTCACTCACTTCTCGATCCTGTCACGGCTCTGCCGTGACAGGGGAGGGACTGGATTCCCCCCTCCCCGCTCCGATCCTCCAGCGCTGACTGGAGGAACGGATGGGGAAGGGGGCGGGTACAGCTGGCTCTGCCTCTAGATAGACAGAGCCAGCTGTCACTCACGCAGCTGGGCGGATCCAGACATAATTGTCGGGATCCGCTTCAGCTGCAGCGTCTCAATATACCGCCAGCTGTAGCTCGCGGTATACTGAGCTTAGTGTGACGGGAGGACGCTAGTTTGTGTCCTCCCGTTACCCTTAGGAGAACTTTGGGGAAAAGCCCTAACCCCATAGTTCTCCTTTAACCATGACCCAATCTTTTATATTTTGCCAAATAATTGCCTAATAATAAATGTTTCATAACTTAACATGGGGAAAACCGTTTTGTTTTTTTTTTCTCCAGAATTTTTGGTACTTTTATTCTTTATATAGTAAAAAATAAAAAAAACACCTAGTGGTGATTAACCACTTGAAGACCGGGGTGTTAAACCCGCTTCCTATCCAAGCCATTTGTCAGTATTCAGCACTGAGATACTTTGACTAACAATTATTCCGTCATACAATGCTGTACCGAAATTAATTTTATATCCTTTTTTGGAGACAAATATAGCTTTCTTTTAGTGGTATTTAATCACCACTGGGGTTATTTTTTCTTCAGGGAAGCAGATGTCAAGCCTTATAACTGCATGCACCCGCGAAAGCGCAAAAAACTGCCATACCCAAAATTGATATAATATTATATAAAGTTCACTTCAGTACAGCATTGCATGACTGGACTGAATAAATGTTAGTCAAAGTACTTCGGCACTGAATACTGAACATTTTTAAAATGGTCTGGACAGAAAGACGTAAAACCTCTTAATCCCTATAGTAAGAGAACCAGTTGAAGTGATTCCTGATTTTGCAGTTACAAAGTTTGGATTTAGTTCTCTTTTAGGTGTTTGTGCCAGGGATTCTCTTTCCATTATGGTGATGATATCCACAGTGGCATCCCGTTCAATTTCTTTTACCACTACTTGTGTTGCCCATTCACCATTTCCACAGTTGGAGATGGTGACTGGAGTCACTTAAGTTCTCAAATTTTATGAACTTTTTCACTTGCAGTTTAAAATTTCAATTTACTTGCAACTTGCAATTCTATTTGCAAAATACCTGCTTTGCAAAGCTTTTTTTTGTTTGTAAAATCTAAAAAAATGAATTAGGACATTAAGAGATCTATTTGTAAATGGCTTTAGCTTAACTTTCACACGTTAACCCAGGATTCACACATTTTTACATATATAAATGGAACCATATTAAGCATTTGATCCTGTGGTTTTGCCAAACAAATTGCATGTCAGTCATGATTCATAAGAAATTAAAGAATAGATTCATGCAGGCACCTGATTCACTGCCAATCTACTGGCAGAAAATTTGATACAAAGACGCACTGAAACAACCTAGAAGACATTTTATGTTTTGTATGTAATGATTTGATTTGAGGATCTACAGCCGAGTGATACACCAAAAAATATACATTTGTGTTAATAGTTGAGGTACTTAAAGAAATTTTTTAAATTTAACTCCTGAGTTTGGTGTCACTTTAAATAAGATTGTTAAACTCATACACACACACACACACACACACACACACACACAATTCAAGTTTAAAAATAAGCAATGCAGCAGAATTGTGGATGGTATCCCACTATGCTGCTCTAACCAATATTCACAGCAGGAGACACCACTCTTGCTTTTACATTATTGCTTACTTCACTTCTGATCACTGCTGATTTGCTTTTAAACTTCCCACATGTGCAACATTTTTATCTGCTAGCTTTGCAATTTGTAAATATCGAATTGGGAGAATTGGTGATTCATAAATCTTATTATTCTCCTCAGGTTTGCATATTACAGCGATGACCGATTGCTATTGCATTTTTGATACAGATAAACATTTAGCAACCCGCTATGTTGATCAGACTGTGTTCACATCTGGGTCAAAAATTTAAAAAAAAGAATTGTTGGAGAACATTAACATTTAGTTATCAGTGATAACACTATGATCTGTTGCTGTATTGTATATCTGTTGCAGTTTATTGGTACTATAGCCCTGAAGCCCACTGGCAATATTATTGTGTTGTGGGTAAGACAAGCCATCATGGTCTATCTATGTCATTCATTTCTGCAGTAGACACGCACACACACACACACACATTCACTAATTACAAATAGGTACAGGTGCTGTGAACTAGATATCCCTGCAACTTACTGTTTAGATTGACAAAACATTCAAGGACCATAGGTATTTTTAGGGCTGAAACAACTTATCTATAAAATCGATTTATAATCGATAATGAGAACCGTTGATTTTCGATTTTCTGCTCCTCCGTTCTCCTCCCTGCTAGTGCTAGCTGCAGCAGTCTGTTCAATTCCCGCTGCTTTCCCCGCCTTTATCGACTGAGGCAGCTGGGTACGCAGGCCATTGCAGCCGGCACTACGGCCACCCCGTACCTCCGCTGCTGCCCTATTCTTCCTTTGCCTCCGCTGCTGCCCCGTTCCTCCGCTGCTGCCCCGTTCCTCCGCTGCCAGCCCAGTTCCTCCACTGCCCGCCCCCTTCCTCCTCTGCTGCGTGGTTTCATTCTCTGCTTCCCCGTGCCCCCTCTTCTGCTGGCGATATATAGTGAGCCGCTGATGTGAGACGGCGGCGTCTCACATCAGCGGCTGGAAACAATAGCCAGCCTGCTATTGGATATTTTAACTTGCAATAGCGAATAGCAGGCTGGCTATTGCACCCGCCCACTGCCTGCTGTCAATCGGCAGTGGAGGACCTGAAGGAGAACTTTCTATTGGCTATTGGCAATAAAAATAGCCAATAACAGGCTGGCTATTGCTCCCACTTACTGCTTACTGTGATGACATTCATCTGCCACACAAACACACACACAAACACTGTGTGTATGTGTAAAAGGTTATATTGGCTTAGAGTTTTACAATTCACATTGTTTAAAATCCATGAAACTAATTAAAATATCTTATATAGCACATACAATTATTTAAAAAATATATATTTAAAAAAGGTGGAAAGTAATTTTTAGTTTTTGGCCTGACAAATTTTGCTGCAGGAGGTGCAATTGCGGTGCCATTAATTTCAATGGATCCCAAATGCACCTCCCGTCCACAGTGTGATCACCCGCACTTGAACGCATGGTACTACGATGCCATACGTTCCAGTGCAGTGTGCTTTTAAAAAAATGTGCATACCATTTTATTCTGAAGTAAACGTTATGTCTGTAACACTGCATTTGTTTATTTTATTTAAAATAAATGATTGTATTATTTTTTAAAAATAATTTTATCTGATGAATCGAAAAAATTATCGGACAACTAACCGATTATGAAAATAATCGTTAGTTGCAGCCCTATGTACTTTTGCTAGAACATTTGATCCATAGTGGAGTTCACCTAATAGGATTAGGGGAAGATCACTATGATACCAACTCTTACATCTTTTTTCTTATGCAGGCTTTACTTTACTTTGAGAACAATGTTAAAAATCATGATGTGCACATTTTGGTTCTTTTAGCCTTTTTATGCAACTAATACTTACAAACCGTGTTTGTGAAACACAGGTGTTAGTACTGTATCTTCAGATTTCTTGCAAGATCTTTCATTAACCTGTTGTGACTTTCTTAATGTTTTAGGATGATTGACAGTGGCATGAAATGCACTTTTTCTGCTCCTGGTCATAGTACAGCTCTCCTTCAGGGACTAAGTGCACTGCGTGATCAAGGTCAGCTACTTGATGTCATTCTTACTATAAACAATGATGTTTTCCATGTCCACAAAGTGGTGTTAGCTGCTTGCAGCGACTATTTTAGGTAGGTGTGTTTGTGTGCTTTTCATTTCCCATTATCACTATATGTCAGTGTTTACTATTTTACTACATAAAGGGCTCATGGTATATGTGACATTTGACAAGACTGTACATATACTAACATTGTCTGTGTGAAACATTCTGCATTTTAGCACTGACATGTCATAAATGGTGTTCTTAAACCAACCTGTGCTTTGTCCTTGTAAGGCAACAGGTTAGCTTTAATCTGCCCTCCCCAGCAGCATAAGTTCATCTTTATTTCTCACTATTTAACTGCAGAAAAGGAAGAATATACCTGGTACTCTTGGGTATGGAGGTGTATAAAGGTGCCCATACACCTTACGACCATCGCAAGACTTTTGTCTTGCGATAGTCGTATGCTTCTTGAAAGCTCGTACGATCTGCCCACCTTGGACGGGCAGATCGTACTTGCGATCATCGAAAGCCCGCTGAGGGGCGGGCTTCCGATGACGGCAATGCAGAACGGGCAGTGTGCGCGTGCGCACACTGGCCCGTTCCACTATCGGGCGAGCGGCCTAGAACCCCGCCGAGAATCGTACGATTCTCGGCGGGTTTTCGAGCATGTTGGCTCGACAAAAGACGTGCGACCGTACAGTAGAAACGGTCGCACGTCTTAGTTCACACTGCTCGATTCTCGTACGATCGCGGGATTTCGCCCGATTCTCGTACGAGAATCGAGCAGTGTATGGGCACCTTTAGACTCACTTCATGGGACGCCTCTGGAACAATTACCAAGCACCAGCTCTGCCACATGGGGAGACTCCATGGTCCTGTGCAATGGGGAACAAAGGAAATGTATATGCTGCTGTAGAGAGGAGATTACATTGAACCTGTTGCTTTTTCTTGCATGGAAAAAGACACAGACTTACTTTAAAGAATATGGCAAAGCCATTGTACATCTGTTAGGACGAGTTGAAACAGTCACTCCAAAAGTGCATTGAATAGAATAGTAATTTGTGCAATTAGAAGCTTTCCCACTGATTTATTCAAGTGATCCATGAAGCTCCTTATTAGAGAAGATGTCTATAAGGGCATTATCCAAGCCTTCCTTTTCCACAGGCTACTTTTATGGTGTGGAGGCATTTGAATGTGGTGCCCTAAAGTAAAGCAATTAGAACTGTAAAATCACCTGAATCACTCTTTGTATGTCTTTCTACATCCCCCCATTGTGTTGACTGGCTATACAGTAGGTATAGAAAAGAATCACCCCCCTTTAAAATA